GGTCACGGCCAGGGGCAGGCGGGCCCTCAGTTTGGGTGTTCTGGCGCCCCCGGCCCCCAGGGCTACCTCGCCTACATCAAGAGCCTCCCGCTCAACGACATCCCCGAGATCTTCGGCCTGCACGACAACGCCAACATCACCTTCGCCCAGAACGAGACCGCTGCCCTGCTGGCCGCCATCATCCAGCTGCAGCCCAAATCCTCCTCTGCGGGGGGCCAGGGCCGGGAGGAGGTGGGCGGGGGCGGGGGACCCGGGGGGCGGGGTCTCAGAGCATGGAGCCCTAGGCAGGCGGGGCAGGGAGGAGGTGGCCAGGGTGGGGGGCGGGGCCCAGTGGGGGCGTCACCAGGGACAGTTCTGACCGTCAGCCTCCCTCCCTCTGCCCCCACAGGTGGTGGAAGACCTGGCCCAGAGCATCCTGCTCAAGGTGCCCGAGCCCACCAACCTGCAGTGGGTGATGACCAAGTACCCAGTGCTGTATGAGGAGTCCATGAACACCGTGCTGGTGCAGGAGGTCATCAGGTACCCCGGTCCCCAGTGGGCACTGACGGTTCCCCGGGGCCCCGCACCACAGTGCCGTCCATCCTGCCCTTCGCTCATCAGAATCCTTCTCATCCCCATTTTAGACACGTTCACCGAGGCCCAGGGTGCGTGACCTCCCCCAAACCACACACTTGCGAATCCCAGGGCCTCTCTGCCCCTGCCCCGTAGGTATAACCGGCTGCTGCAGGTGATCACACAGTCTCTGCGGGACCTGCTCAAGGCGCTCAAGGGGCTGGTGGTGATGTCCTCGCAGCTGGAACTGATGGCGGCCAGCCTGTACAACAACGCCGTGCCCGAGCTCTGGATGGCCAAGGCCTACCCGTCACTGAAGCCGCTGGCCTCCTGGGTCATGGACCTGCTGCAGCGCCTGGACTTCGTGCAGACCTGGATCCAGGAAGGCATCCCGGCCGTCTTCTGGATCAGTGGCTTCTTCTTCCCCCAGGCCTTCCTGACGGGCACCCTGCAGAACTTCGCGCGCAAGTCCATCATCTCCATCGACACCATCTCCTTCGACTTCAAGGTCTGCACCGGCCCCAGCAGGAAGGCAGGGGTCATGGCTGGCTGGCACTTTGGGGACCCATGAGCAAGGAAGGAGGGTCCCCAGCAAACTGGGCAAGCCCCAGGAAGACTCAGACCAGCAGCAGCCTGGAGCCTGAGAAGGCCCCAGGAGCAGGGGCAGGCTGCAGACAGGCCCCTGGCTAGCACAGTGGGCAGGCGGGCAGGCGGCAGCTGCCAGCAGCTAGTTCATGCCCCCGACCCAAATCCTACAGGAGCTGTAGGTGCAAGGCAGGCTGTGGGTGTGTCCCCACAGGTGCTGGGCCAGCAGCTGTCGGCCATCACGGAGAGACCCATAGAGGGCTGCTACATCCACGGGTTGTTCTTGGAAGGGGCCCGCTGGGACTCCGCCATCTTCGAGTTGGCCGAGTCCCGGCCCAAGGAGCTCTACACAGAGATGGCCGTCATCTGGCTCCTGCCAATGCCCAACCGCAAGGCCCAGGACCACAACTTCTACCTGTGCCCAATCTACAAGACACTGACCCGTGCTGGTATGGGGCACCACTGGGGGGGAGGGCGCACACCATGGGGCTGGCAGGACAGGTCCAGCACAGGCCAGTTAGAGCCCATCCAGGCCTGGATGGGGCCAGGCCAGCAGCAAGCAGGCAGTGCCCAGGGGCGGACTCCTAGGCTGGCTCCCGGCCCCTCACTCAGCAGCATCTGCCTTGGGTCCTGGGGAGCTTTGGCCCCCAGCGAGCCATACTCAGAGGGGTCACGAGGCCCAGGAAGGAGAAGGCCTGGGCCCGTCTTGTTGGAGGATGAAGAATCGGGAGTGCATGTTCTGCCCCCATCTTCAACCCCCGCACGGGTCAGTGACCACGGCCAGGCCACTTGTCCAGCCACTCACACGGACCCCTTCCTTCCTCCCCTAGGGACACTGTCGACCACAGGCCACTCCACCAACTATGTCATTGCTGTGGAGCTCCCCACCCAGCTGCCCCCGCGACACTGGATCCAGCGTGGCGTGGCCCTCCTCTGTGCCCTGGACTACTAGCGTCCTCATTAAAGCACTTCAGCTCATCCTGCGCACCGTCTCAGGCCCCACTGCCAGGGGGGAGGCAGCAGCCTTGGCACCCGCCCAAATGCCACAAGGGAAGAGACAAGAGCCCTCCCAGGCCCCTGTGCCAGCCAGCAAGCACTCTAGACCAAGCCTAAGCCCCACACAGATTGCTCCTGTGCCCAGGGCCTAGGTCTAGCTCTGTCCACCCCTCCCACGGCAGCCTCGCCTCAGGCAGCGACCACATGAGGCCTCATTGCTCCAGAGTTTTATTCATTCACTGATTTGATATTCACAAAGGGGTCAGTCAGGCTGTGCACAGCCCAGGGTGGGCAGCGGCCACACCTCCCAGATAGCCCCTCCCCCAGCCACTATGTACAGATAAGGGGGCTCTTGGGTCACCTTCAAAGTCATCTGGGAGAGGGAATGGGGTGGGGTCTGTGATCCAGAGGCAGGGCTGGACCAGCACCCCTTGGCATCAGCCCCAGGGACAAGGGAGCAACGTGGCTGTCTCAGCCCTGTGTCCCCACCCGGCAGGGCGGCCTGCGGGAGGGCAAGCTAAGGGGCCCTCTCTGCAACCCCTACCCCTATGGGAGGGAGACAAGGTTAATACTGAGGGGTGGGGCAGAGGGGCCTTGGAGCCCCCAGGCTGCAGGGATAGCGACCCAGAGCCCAGGACCACAACACTGAAGGGAGAGGGCCCGGCCTCACTGCACAGCCGCTAGGGAATTACAAGCCAGGCCACCCACCAGCCTCAAACACTTATCAGATTGGAGGGGAAAAGGGAGTACACCCCAGGGAGACTGTTCAGCCACATCGCTGTGTGGGTGCTCGCCCAGGGAGAACAAGGAGGCTGGCACCCTCAGGACAAGGGTAGGTGGACAGGGCACTGGAGCAGCACCCCATCACCACCACGGCCGCCGCCAGGACTGTGGAGGGCATCGTTGGAAGCCATCTATGTCAGCCCAGCGGTGACGCGAGGGCTGGAGCCCCAAAATAGACGTCTCTGATAGATAAAATATACCTCTGCTGCCCATGGCCAGCGGGCCAGGGCCTGCCTGCCGTCCCACAGCC